TGATCAGCAAGGATCTCTTTGTCTATATTTGACATGATGCACCAAGAATTTATTGAGTTTGTTCAATGTTCGTGACACCCAGAGCGCTCCAGACCCTGTACCTCCATTGTATACTGCTATGGTACTCTGTTTTCTGGATCTGTCCAGCACGGAGGGACAGAACACATAGAGGTGGTAGATTTCTGGGCCATTGACAGTAAGTTTTGGTTGCATGAGTATAAATCTGTCAGGCTGTTACTTCACAAGTCTATGGGGCAGCTCTTCATTTTTGGCATAAGCCCCTAGTTGTTAATGAGCAGATAGTTGGAAGATTGACTGGACAGGTTTTGCTATTGTTGCTTCTAGTTCCCTTTTCCTTTATAACTTTTCTGTAGCAGGTTGCTAGAATTTTTCAAGAGTCTGTTAAGAGTCAGTAACGTAGTTTTGATTCTGGCGTTACATGCACAATAGCCCAAGTAAAGGCAACAGATTTCCTTCCCTAAAGGACATTCATGAACCAGATGGGCTTTTATGACCATTAACAGATATCTTAATGATCACCTTTATTGAGACCATAGTTTACTTCCAGATTTTGTCATGAATTGAATTTAAATCCCACGGTGCAGTTTGAACCCCTTTCTTACTAGTCAGTAACATTAATAGTTGCACTCATCTGCTAAAGAGATTGATTCATCAATTTGGCTAATTTTAAAACAGAATCAAAAAACAGATATTAAGTGTGTCAGAGATAGTAGGAACTGCAGATGCTGGAGAATCCGAGACAACAAGGTGCAGAGCTGGATGAACACAGCAGGCCAAGCAGCATCATAGGAGCAGAAAGGCTGCCAAATCCCCCCACTCCCACCACAGAGACCTGCCACATCCCCCACCCCACCGAACAAAACCCCGCCAGATGTCTCCCCTCCCAGAGACCCGCCACATCCCCCACCCCACCAACAAAACCCTGCGAGATCTATCCCCTCCCAGAAACCGGCCAGATCCCCCACCCCACCAACCAAACCCCGCCGGATCTCTCCCCTCCCAGAGACCCGCCACATTCCCCACCCCACCAACAAAACCCCTCCACACTCCCCTCCAGCCCTACCACACCCGGCACTTTTCCCTGAACCGCAGGAAGTGCTACACCTGCCCCCATACCTCCTCCCTCACCACCATCCCAGGCCCCAAGAAGACTTTCCACATCAAGCAGATATTCACCTGCACATCTGCCAATGTGGTATACTGCATCCGCTGTACCCGTTGTGGCCTCCTCTACATCGGGGAAACCAAGCGGAGGCTCGGGGACAGCTTTGCAGAACACCTACGCTCGGTTCGCAATAAACAACTGCACCTCCCAGTCGCGAAACATTTCAACTCCCAATGGTATCAATGTGGACTTCACAAGCTTCAAAATCTCCCCTCCCCCTACCGCATCCCAAAACCAGTCCAGCTCGTCCCCGCCTCCCTAACCTGTTCTTCCTCCCACCTATCCCCTCCTCCCACCTCAAGCCGCACCCCCATCTCCTACCTACTAACATCATCCCACCCCCTTGACCTGTCCGTCCTCCCTGAACTGACCTATCCCCTCCCTAACTCCCCACCTGCACTCACCTTTACTGGCTCCATCCCCGCATTTTCGACCTGTCTGTTTCCTCTCCACCTATCTTCTCCTCTATCCATCTTCTATCCGCCTCCCCCTCTCTCCCTATTTATTTCAGAACCCCCTTCCCCTCCCCCATTTCTGATGAAGGGTCTCGGCCCGAAACGTCAGCCTTCCTGCTCCTATGATGCTGCTTGGCCTGCTGTGTTCATCCAGCTCTGCACCCTATTAAGTGTGTCACTTGTGTTTTCTTTGATTTGTTCATGGGATGGAAATGTCACTGGCCAGACCAGCATTTTATCACCCATCTCTAGTTGCCTTTTGGTTGGAATGGCTTGCTGGAGCCATTTCGGAGAACAAGTAAGAGTCAACCACATTTGGACTGTCATATAGGCCAGACCAGCTAAGAATAGGAGATTTCCTTTCCCAGAGAACACATGAACTAAATATGTTTTTCAGGGCAATTGATATCAGTAATCGTCACCATAATTCTATATTTTTATTGAATTCAAATTTCGCCATTCTGGCATGGCAGGATGTGAACCTATGTCCCAGAGAATTAGCCTTGCAACTTGGATTATTGGTCCAAATATTGCCACTACACAACTTGAGTCTCCTGTTGTCCTTGTCAGTTTCAGTCTTACTACCCTTTGCACAATCTTTGTTCAACTGATTATGCAATGAAATTGACCTTTTTAACTGCCAAATAAACCTGCATATTAATTTTAGGGGAATCCTGAACTAGGACTCCTAAATCCTTGTGTGCTTCAAATGTCTGAAGCTCCCCCCAGCCCCCCATTTAGAAAATGGCCTATGCCTATTCTTCCTAGCAAAGTGCATAACCTGACACTTTACCACATTGTATTCCTTTTGCCAATTTTCCCACTCTCCTACCCTGTCGAAGTTCTTTTGCAGCCTCCCCTGCTTCTTCAACACTACCTTACCTACCTATCTTTGTCAACTGCAAACTTAGCAACAGTGTCCTCAGTTCCTTTGTTCAGTTCATTATTATGTCACATGAATCGTTGTGGTCTCAACACTGACCCCTGTGGAAATCCACTAGTCATTGGCTGCTGTACTGAAAAAGACTCCTTTATCCCCATTCTCTGACTTCTGCCAGTCAGCCAATCCTCTATCTGTGACTAGACCTTGCCACTAATATCATTAGCTCTTATTCAGCAGTGTCTTTGCAGCACCTTGCCTAACTTGCTTGTTGTATCCTCAAAGAATTCCAGCATTGTCAGGCATTCCCTTGAGAAGCTGTGTTGACTCAGCTGTACTTTACCATGCACCCAAATACTCCACAATCCCAAGCTTGGTAAGGTTTTAGAGTCCATTACTAACGACAGAGGTCATGCTAACCAGCCTCTAATTCCCAGCTTGTGCCTCCCTTCCTTGTTAAACAGGTGCATTATTGAAATGGCAGCATAGAAGCCAGTACCCCGTTACCAAACCACCCTTTATTTAGTTGTGTACTGTATACTGGCAGTAGTCAGCCCCTTGAACTGAGGAGACTCTAAATATCCTGTTCGTATTGGTCAGCCAAGGTTTTTCTGATTGGGGTTGTTAACCAGGGCCAGTGACGCCATAGTCAATGAGATCAACCTGGTTCTGATCACTACAGTTATCAGCCATTTTCCAGTCCTCTGGGACCCTCCCTGACTCCAGTGATTCATAACACAACTAACGCCTTCACAATCTCCTCTGTCTGTCTGTCTGTCTCTCAGAACCCTGGAATGTAGTTCTTCTAGTTCAGGTGATTTGTCTACCTTCAAACCTTTCAGCTTCCCCAGTACCTTCTCCTTGTTGATGGCCACTACTGTCCCCGCTGAAGTTCTAGCATGTTACTCGTGTCTTCACTGTGTACAGTGATACAAAGTACCTATTCAGTTCTTCCCCCACACCCACTTTACTCCTTCATCACCCTCATTTTTCCAGTGGTCCAAAGTCTGCTTTTGCATCTTTCTTAACTTTTTATATATCTAACATGACTGTGCAATCTTCTTTTTTATTACAAGCTAACTTACTCTCATATTTCATCTTCTCCCCACTTACTACTGTTTTAGTTATCCTCTGCTGGTTTTTGAAGGCTTCCCACTAATCTTCACCACATTGTCTGCTTTCTCTTTTCCTTTTATTCTGTCCATGACTTCCATTGTCAGCCATGGTTGCTTCATCCTGTTGTTAGTATATTTCTTCCTTGGAATGAATTTTTGCTGTGCTTCCTGAATTACACCCAGAAACTCCTGCCATTGCTGCTCCAACGTCTTCCCTGGTAGGTTCCCTTCCAATCAACTCTGGCCAGAACCTCCCTCATGTCTTTGGAGTTACCTTTACTCAATTGTAATTACATCTGAGTCCAACTTCTCTCTCCAACTGTAGGGTGAATTCTATCATATTGTGGTCGCTGCCCCCTCAGGATTTCTTCATCTTAAGCTCCCTAATTAAGTCTGCCTCATTACACATCATAAGTCCAGATTTGCCTGTACCCTCATGGGCTTGAGCACAAACTACGCTAAAAAAATTATCTTATAGTCATTCCACAAATCCCTTTTCCTGGGATTCACTGCCAATCTGATTTTCCCTGTCCACCTGCAGGATTGAAGTCCCCCAAGATTATTGTAGTAGTGCCTTTCTTACGTGCCTTTTCCTTCTTCTGATTTTTGTTTACTGCCCCATATCTTCAGTACCGCTTGAGGTCCAGTACATAACTCCCATCAGAATGATTTTCCCTTGCAGCTCCTCAACTCTACCTACACAGATTCTACAGCTTCCAACCCTATATCACTTTGTGCTATCAACTTAATTTAGTGTCTTACTAACAAGGCAACCCCACTTTCTCTGCCCGTATGCCTTTCCTTTCGATAGTTCCCAATCCTGATTCCCTTGCAACCATGTCTCTGTGATTCCCACGACATTGTACCCACCAATTTCAATCTGCGCTACGAGCTCACTTACCTTTCTTATAATTGTTCTTAGAATCCCTACAGTGTGGGAACGGGCCATTCAGCCCAACAAGTTCGCACCAACTCACTGAAGAGCATCCTACTCAGACCCATCCCCTTACCGTATCCCTGTAACCCTGCATTTCCCATGGCTAACGAGTCCTCATACTGGCAGCAACCAGAATGGCTTGCCGGCTTGGCCGAGGCTCGGCTTTGTTGTGGGGCTCAGAAATGAACTGGTTGAGATTTGCTGTAATTGGAAGGAGCTGTTCCTAGCTTAGATTACCCAGACCCCTGCACGGATTGCAATGAGGTGTGCAAAATAGCATGGCTGCAGATCTGAGAGATAGGCACCCTGCTCAAGCAAGTTTCCGAGGCCCAAAAATCTTACTTTTACGTTTGACTTCTTATTTAAAAAAGCTCTTTTAGTTTTGAGAAAACAATATTTACATTTTTTTTCTTTCTTTCATATCCAGGGTGTTAAATCTGGAGTTGAACAAAGACCGGGATGTGCAGAGAATCCATGGAAGTGGAGTTAATACTCTTGACATTGATCCTGTTGAAGGAAAGTAGTAAGTATATCCACCTATCTACATTTGCTTGGCCTGCTGTGTTCATCCAGCCCTGCACCTTGTTGTCTCGGATTCTCCAGCATCTGCAGTTCCTACTATCTCCATCTACATTTATATGTGTATCTACAGGTAGACTTAAAATTGCTAATACAATTTTATGTGCTATAATGACTTCGATGGCTTTAATGCCTCTAACGTTTACTTCCAGATTCAAATGCAAGGTACATTTTTATAATGGCTTTAATGTACGAGTAGGTCTGAAGGCGCTCAACAGGAGCGGAATCCATTAAAATAAAATGGAGCCATAGAGTTAGATAGAAGGACAGATGATATAATGGTTACAACACAGAAGGAAGCCATTCCGCGCTTCATTTCTGTGCTGGCACTTTGCAAGTGCTCAGCTAGTCCCACTCCTGCCCCACCAGCCCTTTGCATTAAAAGGTCAGAAACTGATGAGGCTAAAGGCTAATAGACCCCTCAACCTAAAGGGTTGCATCACGGAGAATTTGAAAGAAGTATCGACAGAGACACATTACGATTTGTGCATCCATTATCAAGAATCCTTAGATTCTGAGAAAGTCCCAAATCATTGTCAGTTTTCCTGTGTAGTACCCCTGTTAGGAAAGAGAAGGGAATTTAAAAAAAAGAACAGGCAACTATAAGCCAGTTAAGTGAACATCTGTCATTGGAAGAATGTTAGAATGTATTACAAAGGATATAATAGCAAATCATTGCTTAATCATACTATGGATTTCGCAAAGTAAGCATGGTTTAATGAAGGGGAAATCATGACCGACAAATTTATTAGAATTCTTCGAAGAGGTTATAAACAGGATAAATAAAAGGGAACCAATAGATGTAATATATTGGCATTTCCAAAAGGTGCTTGATAAGGTGCCATACTTATGGGCTCTTAAGTTAAGTAGCCATAAACGTTGCAGGTAATGAATTAGCATGGATGTAGGTTATGCTAATTGAAGAAAGTAAGTTGAGATAAAGGGGTAACATTTTGAGAATGGCACCCTGTGACTAGCGGAGTGTCATGGATTAGTGCTGGGGCCACAATTATTATCAAAAATATGTAGGAATGCAAATAGAGAGCATTGTGATTGTAATGAGGTCACCCAACTGGACATCATAGAATGAGTTTCCTGATTGGGGCTGTTAATCTGGTCCAATCAAGGAGACGTAACTGACATAAAAGGGTCAATGTCCGGGAAATTGGGCCCCTGAATGCTTGACTTAGTAAGACGGTCAGAAGTCACGCAACACTAGGTTATAGTCCAACAGGTTTATTTGAAATCACAGGCTTTCAGAGTGTAGCCCTTTTGTCAGGTGCAATGAGAGAGAGGAGCACAGTTTATAGGCAGAGAGATAAAAAGATCATACAACTCTCACTCTCACCAGTTGTATGATGCATTGATCTGTCTGCCTATAAACTCTGGGTCTTTATATTCTTCTCTCTCACTGCACCTGATGAAGGGACTGCATTTCGAAAGCTTGTGATTCCAAATAAACCTGTTTGACTATAACCTGGTGTTGTGTGGCTTCTGACTTTGTCCGCCTCAGTCCAACGCCGGCACTCCACGTCGTGACTCAGGAAGAGGGAGTGCTCATGTCAAAGCCTATGCATTTGTGAATAAAGGGTGACTGGTGATGGGATACTAGCCTCTGAAGAGTTATTTCAGTGGCAATGAGAGTAAAGCATGACCTTGAAAAAACTCACTTGTAGCAGTCGTTTTGAAGTTGGGGGTAAAAGCATTTCTTTGCATCGTGTTTCTGTTTGGGAAACTTGACTTTTTTGACCTTGACATCGAGGGCTGGGCTCAGTATGTTGAAAGAATGCCAAATGTCATTTGCCCAGAAAAAATAAAGCAGATGAAAAACGAGTATTTCTCCTGACAGCCTGTGGAGCTGTAGCTTTTTCCATCATTCAGAGCCTTTTCCATCATTCAGAGCCAAATATTTCATGAGGCACCAGATACAAAAACCTTTCAAGAATTGTTTGACATACTTGAGGAATATTATGACCCCAAGCCCCCTTCAATTCTGAGATGCTATCGCTTTTGCTTGGTTGTGTTGCAATTAAAGAGCCAGGGAATTTGTATCGGAGTTTTTGACTTGGTTAAGACACCTGGCAGAAGCCGGTGAATACGACTTAACCCTTAATGAAATGCTTAGAGACCATCTAGTATGCAGGATTAATGATGTGCCTGTGCAAAAATGCGTCTGGCTGAAGCTTAACTGGACTTCAAATAGGAATTAAGACTGGCTTTATCACTGGAAAATGTGGCAAGTGGCGCATGTGAATTGCAAAATATTCCGATGGAATTGGACACCCAGAAGAATGCTACTATTAATACCCATAAGGGCTTGTACCAGAAAATGAGGTTGCCATTTGGCATATCGTCAACCTGTTCAATTTTTCACGGGACAATGGAGAACATTTTGGAAGGTCTACCTCAGGTTGTTATTTACCTAGATGACATCCTGATGACAGTGAAAATGAATAAGGACTGCTTCAAGAACTTGGATATAGCTCTAAGGCATTTTTCCAAGGCAGGTGTACACTTACAAAGGGAAAAATGTGTTGCAGGCCCTTCCAAGCAACCTACTTGGACTACAGAGTCAACAAGACCAGGTTACACCTGTTGGAAGATAGTGAGTGCAATCGAAGATGCCCCAGCCCCCACATCTGCCCAGGGCTTACATCATTTCTGGGTGTGGTAAATTGTTGTGGAAAGTTCATATACAACCTGGCATCCATCCTAGCACCACTGCATCAACTTCTTTAAAAAAAAAAAAGGGTCAGCCTTGGAAATGGCCCCATAGAAAGACCCTAGCTTTTGAAGTAAAGAAATAATTGGCATTCTTTAATGTGTTGATACACTATAATCCCAAGAAAGATCATGTGAATACCACCACTTGCAGTTCTTCTCCAAGTCATTCATCATGCTGACTTGGAAATACATCACCAATCCTTTATTGTCACTGGGCCAAATCCTGGAATTCTCTCCTTAAGGGAATTCTGGGTCAATGTACAGCATGTGGACTGCACTGGTTGAAGAATACAGTTCACTACAATCTTCTCAGACAATAAATGCTGGCCAGTCAGTGATGCTCCCGTCCAATAAGCGAAATAAAAAAAATGCCAATATGCTGTGTAGCTTGCAGTAGAACATGTTGGTACTTCTGTGTCTGTGGTGATATTGTGGTTTTAGGTGGATGAAGCAGAATTTGAAAGCTGATACTTTACTAGACCAGGCGAGTTGCTGCAGTGTATGTTGTAGTTAATTCACATAGCTGCCGCTATGCTACCATGGTGGAGTGAAGAAGACGTAGACACAGCTGTGGCATGGGCAGTTTCGTGGCACATTAAGTTTAATGAACAGATGTGAGGTGATGCATTTTTATGAGAAGAATGAGGAAAAGCAACACAAAATAGAGTGCAATTCTAAAGGAATTGCAGGGCTTGTGAACACATGCACTAACCATGGCTGGAAGCACAGGCAGGCTACGAAAGCAGTTAATAAAGTATATATGATCCTGGGTTTTATAAATAGGGATAGAGTATAAAACTGAAGAGTTAATGATGAACTTGTGTAAAACATTGCTTTGTCCTCAACTGAAATATTGTGCCTAATACTGAACTCCACATTTTAGCAAGGATGCCAAGTCATTGGGGTGGGTGCAGTAAAGCTTTATGGGAATGATCCTAGGAATGGGAGATTACAGTTAGATTAGTAAAGAGAATAGCTTAGTGAAGCTGGGATTGTTTTGAAAGAAGGTAGGGTTAAGCAAGGTTTAAAAATTGAGGATTCTTTATAAAAGATGGTTGAGAAGAAACTGTTCCCCTTGATTGAATAGTTAAGAATGAGATGTGCCCAATTTAAGCTAATTGGCAAAAGCATCAGTATGGTCTGAGGAAAACACTTTTGACACAACTTCTGCTTTGGATCTGGAATCTCATACCTGAGAGTATGGTGGAAGCGTGTCCAGTCATGGTTTAATAAAGAGAACTGGATAGTGATCTATGAAGAAAACGATTGCCCTTTCCCAGTATGCAAAGCAATGTGTAGCACCAACTGAGTCTGTCTTGCAGAGAATGGGAGCAGATGCGATCGGTCAAATGACCTTCCTCAGTGCTGTCATTATTTTCTCATATTTATAGTGTTAGTCTGCTGAATCTTCGCATCATGGATTTTAACTTTTGTTCAAATTAGTATATTGTAGTTGATTGTCCTTATTGAATCTTATATATGCTTTATTTAGCATGCTGTCCGGTGGATCAGATGGCATAATTGCAATATATGATTTGGAGAATGCCACTAAAAAACTACAGTACACATGCAAGGCAATTTGTACAGTGGGCAGGTAAGAAAAGTCTAATTCATTATTTTCTTAGTGCAGTACTGTGTGTATCATTTGAAATGTACCTATTGAATGAATTATTACATGCCAACATTGTCTTAAAAGGTCCCATGGCCATGTGCACAAATACAGCGTGGAGACTGTTCAGTGGTATCCTTGTGACACTGGCATGTTTACATCCAGCTCATTTGATAAGACTTTGAAAATATGGGACACAAACAGGTTATTGGTAAGTACAAATAATTTTATGGTGCTTAATAAAATTGTTTCCATAACCTGCATGTATTTTATATTTGGTTGTAAGTAATATGAAGGACACTGTTTCAATTTTGATTTGATTTTTCTTCTTTTCTTTCCTGAAACTGAGGGGTTCAGGGGTTGCCAGCGGATCACTGATATCTTGACTCATGCAGCAATAATTAGGGAGACAGTTTGACTTTGAAAGTTGATTCCTGATCCTGATCTTGTCCACATTCAATGTTAATGCATGCATCTAGCAATGTCACTCCATGGCATTTAGGAGTGCAAATTTTGGATGATCTGGAGCTTAAATTTTAAACAGTCAATGAGGCGGAATGATCTTCAAGACAAAAAGGAGCTGAATTTTTGTCCTTTACGCTCTTTCTAAAGAAATTTACATTCAAAGTTCTGCTGAAGAGGTTAATAAGTAAATATCCTAGCTGACAGAAAAACAAAGTTGCTGGATAAACTCAGCAGGTCTGGCAGCATCTGTGAAGAAAAAAAAAAAAATCAGAGTTAACGTTTTGGGTCCAGTGACCCTTCCTCAGAAGAGTCTAAGGGGCACCGGCCCCGAAATTTTAACTCTGATTTTTTTTTTTTTTTCTTCACAGATGCTGCCGGACCTGCTGAGTTTACCCAGCAACTTTGTTTTTGTTCCTGATTTACAGCATCTGCAGTTCTTTTGGTTTTTTCTTTGATATCGTCGCTGATGTTGGACTCAACTGAACAAAGTGAGAACTCAAATTTGTCCCCTGATCTGGTGCTATAATCGTCAAGGAAAATTTTAATGAGAAAAATTAACACTTTTTAGTTCCAACTGCTCATGTCTTGATTCAAATTTTGATACACATCTATTGGAACTTTTGCATGTCGGGTGATTTGAGAGAGGACTGAGGAAACATTGTGGTTGGTTGGCTCGCCGATCTGGTTGTTGTTCCAGAACAACAAACCTGGTCGGCTTGCCGACCAACCTCAAAATCCACAAATCTACTCTCAAACCTGAGGAAAAGTGTCAGAAATGTGCCAAATGCAAAACGATCAAATGGTGTTGTTTTCCTGGACAACACTACTGCTTTGCAAATCAGGTAGGTTGTGTGCTTCAAAATGTCTTTAGAGCTGCTAAGTCAACTCAGTAAACACTGCCAGCATGCAGTAAGTAGTTAAGTGAAGTCCGCACCCCTTGCAGAGTGGTCACAGAGGAAAATCACTTGGTAGGTAGTCAAATGAGAAGAGACTCTTGTCTTAAGCAAGATGTAATTTATAGTATGATAGCAGCTATGTACAGATCAGGTTGATATGATATTGTTATGGAGTCTACGAGGAAGACTTGCTCCAAGACATATTTTTTAAAGGGTGCATCTCTGTATCCAGCAACCATTATGGCTGTTCCTAAATGTTTTCTTGAGTCAACTGGCTCAACTTATCAGCAGCTGCCTCACGAAATGATTGTGCCTTTCCTGACATCTTCTCCTGAGGCGGCAGGATTGAACTGGGAATTTCCCCAACTCCCATGACCCACGTTAAAGATGAAATTCCAGGCCATTGTCTCCAACCCAACATCTCAAAAATCGGGCTTCAATCTTCCCTGCAGCATGTGGACAACCTTCAACAGAGTATGGACTGGCATGGCTGCTGTAGCCACCTGATGTACAACTTGTAACCCTGAACCTTTCCTAACTGTGACTGTGGAAAGCTTCTTTCCTGAAACTTTTCAAAAGAAGAAAATGAAAGGCAGTTTCAAAGCCATTATTGTAGGATAAAATTGAAAGTTATTTAGAACGGCAGGAAGCAGTCACTGCTATGCTAATCTAGACATTTGATGCTTTTTCTAGGCACGAGGTACACGTCACATTTCAGCCCAAAACTAAATAATAATCAAGGACAAGAAAAGATTGCAGATGCAGCCCAACGTTATTCCAAATTAAAAGAGATGAGCAAAGGGGTTTCTGTCAAGGATTTGTTTGTTTTTTTTTGAAGCTTGCTTGTTGCCTGTTCCTTCATAGGTCTTGCCATTCTTGTTGTACTCTCTCCCAGGCTGCTCTTTTGTAGCCCTCTCTGCTCTCACTATACTCTGTCCCAGACTGTTCCTTGAGAACTCTTGCTATATTCTGTTGCCGCTTGCTTCTTTATAGATGTCGCTGCTCTCACTAGAATCTCTCCCAGCCTGCCCCTTATTTTAGCTTTCTCCACTCACTATACTCTCATCAAACCTGTTCCTTTTTAGCTGTCTTTGCTGTCACTATACTCTCTCTTATCCTGCCCCTTTGTAGCTCTCTCCACTCTTGTTATAGCCTCTCTCAGCTTGCCTGTTCATAGCTCTCTCTGTGCTCTCTCCCAGGCCTGCCTTGAGGTTAAATTGGATGTTGGACTGAATTTTGCCATGGACTGAATTTTTTGACAATGTTTTCAGGGAGATTCAGGGAAAGTAATCCCCAATGACCCATGTCGACTTGCGTCACACAAAAGAAGCAAAGAAACAGGAGTAGACTATTCAGTCCCATAAGCCTATATTCCCATTCAATGAGACCATGGCTGACTTAGGTCTGATCTCCATTTGCCTGCTTTTGGCCCATATCCCTTAATAAGTTTGCTAACCCTAACCCTATCTCTGATTTAAAATTAACAACTGATCTAGCATCAACTGCTGTTCGTGAAAGAGAGAGCCAAAGTTCAACAATCCTATGTGTGGAAGTGGTTTCTAACATCCATCTTGCATGGTTTGGCTGTAATTTTCAGACTATGTCTCCAGTTCTAGAATCCTTAATCAGTGGAAATAGTTTATCTTTATCTACCAATCATCTCTTCATCTGATTAATTATGCATCTGGCCTTTTCTGTGCTTGGCCCATGGAATTGTGTGGTAGGAGTAACGACCTCTTTACCTCCCCCTGCCTGTGTTACTGAAATGTGCAGAGGTGCAAGTCAAGGAAGATAAGCCTGGTCCTTGAGACCAAATCATTAAGTCTTCTAGGTCAGAGTAAACTACAGAGCGGGCTGTTTGCAACCCAGCTTCCAACGTCTTGACTGTGATGAGATGTAGTAGGAGGACAAGAAAGAAAGCATTGTTAAAATTTAAGAATAATACTAAGACTATGGTGTGAATAATTGTTTTTCAGTACCTTGGTAATAATTTTTGAGATCATGAAATCAAAATGTAACATTCCAAGTTTTCTTGAAAATAGACCACAATCTTGCATTATGTATAATGGAAATTAGCTATATTTATATGTATATTTACTGATTGGGTTAAGAATTTAATGCAAGACTAACTTATTTATTTTGCAGCCTGCTGAAGTGTTCTGTTTTGAAGGAACAGTTTACTGTCATCATATGTCACCAGTCGCAACCAAACACTGCCTCATAGCTGGTTAGTACAAGAAGGTGTTGGATGCTGCAGATGATCCATGCATGATGTCAAACCTTGTGTTAAAACCTTTCTCATAATAACCTGTGTATTGGGGAGGTTCCATAAATCCCCAAACTAGGTTGAAAGCATTGACCTGGAATAAATAAGAAAGCTAGTTAGAGAACAACTATCATTGTTGAAGATGTTAACTTAGGAGAAATTGATTGTGGTTGTGTGATTACTGATGAAATAGGAGAAGGAATTTCAAGAGTTAATGGAAGATATCATACTCACCATAAAGCAATCAAAGATAACGACCTGTAGAGTTAGCTGTGTCAGTAATAGGCACAATCATATCTCCAACATAGACATGTGTTCGACTTGAATTAACAAGGATTTTAATTTTACCCCTTGATACTAAAGGATTTTTTTTCAATCCACGTGTAGGACACCAATGATGTACTAAACAAACCCAAGATGCTAAGAGCATCCAGTCCATCCTCATCAAGGTGTGATCCTTTGATCTTTTACTTATAAATTCTCTGTGTGATTCTACCTCTCTCATTAACACTTGAAGGAGTAAGACTCCGAAAGCTTGAGTTTTCGAATAAACCTGTTGGACTATAACCTGGTGTCGAGTGATTTCTGACCTTGCCCACCCCAGTCCAACAGCGGCACTTCCACATCATGGCCCTTGAGAAGGACATGGTAAGCTGACCTCTTGAATATGGTGTAGGTTGATCCATTATACCCTTAGGGATGGAATTCCAAGATTTTGATCCAGCAACAGTGAAGGAACAGCGATTATATGTTCAAGTCAGGATGGTGAGTGCTTGGAGGGGAACTTGCAGGTGGTGGTGTTCCCATGTATCAGCTTCCTTTGCCTTCGAGTTGGAAGTAGTCGTGGAATTGGAAGAAGCTTTCCAAGGATCTTTGAATTTCTGCAGTGCACCTTTTAATTAGTATAGGCTATTGCTACTGAGCGTCGATGGTGGAAGGAGTGGATGCTTGTGGATGTGCTGTCTTGGTCTATTATGTGTACAATAGAAAGAGCACCAAAAAAAATTGAATAAATAACTATTTATTGACTTGGCTGATGGGTGAAAGGGATGCTATTTGAGCGAAGGGTTGCTGCATAACAGTGTCAAGCCACAAAAAGGTATGAATCATTCAAACCCAAATTTCAAGTGGAAAGGTGTTAATGCATTTTATTAGACAGTCAATATAAAATTGGAAGCCATATCAGTTTGATGGAATGTAGAAAACATGTTGCCTTTATATTAAGGAAGAAATTCAGAAGATTAAGTAGTTTTAAAACTGTGTGTCTAATTAGCAGAAATTTTGGTTTGATATAATGGGTGACAATAACGAAGATGTCTATTCTTTTAAAGAAACAGCTGAATATTATCTTCATTTCAGTTGGTACCAAGAATCCTAAAGTACAGCTTTGTGATCTTAAATCTGGATCCTGCACCCACATTCTGCAAGGTAAGGGCACAAGAAGCCTCGACAGTACTAAAACATGCCGACTTCAGGAAGAAATTAATTTAAGCTATGCCTATCAGCAAAATGTGTTTTGTATTGCACCTGGAAGATGTGAAACAACTATACAAGTGCATTAGGCTAATAGCAATTGAAAGCAATTGAATTCAGGGCAGAACTATTTTACCAAGTGCATCTGTTGCAAAAGTATTAGCATTGAAAATTAAAGCTCTATCCTTCATAATATCTGGTTTCTGTAAAGGAGCTGATGAAAAATGCTCACTATTGCGACCTAAGAAGTAAATGCATGGCAAGCTTTCAATGCAGTGCAAATCAAAATCTAACAGGAGATTGTAAAAAATAAGCATTATGATGAAAGGTAGTGAGTGGAATCTTGTAGGGATCTGAGCAATGTGGACAAAGGTATGATTGGTGGCAGAATCTCAAGAGATATCTGGTGTGGCCTAATTTGACATTGAGAACACTTGGCACCATATTTTCTGATTTTGATAAGTCGCATGGCAAGTTTCTTACTTGACAGCAGTGAATACCATTTACAGAGTATTATTGCTTGTTAATTGCCTCTTGACACCTTCACAAATGTTCAGCTTTCTAGCTTTACCGAAAGCATTAGACAAGCTAGATGTCAAGAAATGAAAACAGAAGTTGCTGGAAAAACTCAGCAGGTTTAGCAGCATCTGTGAAAAAAAAAATCAGTCAACATTTCGGGTCCGGTGACCCAGCCGTCCAATAGAAGACAGAGGGCGGTAGTAGATGGAAAGTATTCAGCCTGGAGCTTGGTGACCAGTGGTGTTCCACAGGAATTTGTTCTGGGACCTCTGCTCTTTGTGATCTTTATAAATGACTTGGATGAGGAAGTGGAAGGGTGGGCTAGTAAGTTTGCCAATGACACAAAAGTTGGTGGAGTTGTGGATAGTGTGGAGGGCTTTTGTCGGTTGCAACAGGACATTGACAGGATGCAGAGCTGGGCAAAGAAGTGGCAAATGGAATTCAACCCAGAAAAGTGTGAAGTGATTCATTTTGGAACGTCGAATTTGAATGCAGAATACAGGGTTAATGGCAGGATTCTCATGAGTGTGGAAGAACAGAGGGATCTTGGGGTCCACGTCCATAGATCCCTCAAAGTTGATAGGATTGTAAAGAAGGTGTACGGTGTGTTGGCTTTCATTGGCAGGGTGATTGAGTTTAAGAGCCTTGAGGTTATGTTGCAGCTCTCTGAAACCCTGGTTAGACCACACTTGGACTATTGTGTTCAGTTCTGGTCGCCTCATTATAGGAAGGATGTGGAAGCTTTAGAGAGGGTGCAGAGGAGATTTACCAGGATGCAGCCTGGAATGGAGAGAAGGCCTTATGAGGAAAGATTGAGGGAGCTAGGGCTTTTCTGATTGAAGCGAAGAAGAATGAGAGGTGACTTGATAGAGGTGTACAAGATGGTGAGAGGCATAGATAGACTGGATAGTCAGAGACTTTTTCCCAGGGCAGAAATGGCTATTACAAGGGGACATAATTTTAAGGTGATTGGAGGAAGGTATAGGGGAGATGTCAGAGGTAGGTTCTTTAGACAGACAGTGGTAGATTTGTGGAATGTACTGCCAGCAGTGGTGGTAGAGTCAGATACATTAGGGACATTTAAGCAACTCTTGTATAGGCACATGGATGATAGTAAAATGAAGGGTATGCAGGTCAGTTTGATCTTAGAGTAGGATAATAGGTCAGCACAACATTGTGGGCCGAAGAGCCTGCACTATGCTGTACTGTTCTATGTTCTATGTTATATTGTTGTGATGTTGCATTGAAGATACTGTACACTCACTGAGTTGCACCAAGCTCATGGACTGGGCCAAGCTGCATCTCTATCCTGTGGTCATAGTGCACACTCACTCTACCTGGAAGCTGACAGCATCCCTGTTGTGCATTGCTTTGTGTTGCTTTGCATCTGTGCTTTGTCCCCTCAGCCAGGATTGAGTGTCAAACTACTTCCATCTTGTCTTGCCGTTTAGTGCAAGCACAAGGCAGGAAGCTTGTCAGCAGACCGCTGTCAAGTCAAGAGGAATAATCTTCACTCGGCGTCTCGGCGCAGAAACTCAAGGGAAGCCTCTGATACTAGTCCAGGGTTTGGGTCCAGTCAGTCAGCCACTTAGAGCAGTCAGATTCAAGATATTCCCCACATAAAGGGTGAGGAGCAGACTGTTGGTGACCCAACACCCATTTTGATCCTTTGTGCTCTGGTGGTGGCTGTTTGTCTCTTTTGAAGATATTAGGCGCAGTTGGGACAATGTTCCAAAAAGGTGCATAGGCAGGAAAAAGGGCAATCAAAGTTAGTGAAGTTGCAGTTTGAAGTAGGTGAGAGGAAGCGAGGGAAAATGTGGCAGGTACTTCTAAAAGTGGTAGAGCATAAGCCTTGATAGAGTCGAAGAGATAGTGTCATGTGTTGGAGAGAAGATGGTGGTGACACTTGCGCTGGTGGAGTGGAGAAGGATATTGACCCATTTTCTACAGGTAGTGTGCATGCCTCCAGGTGGCCAAAATCACAACGATCCAGATGATAATCTCGGACAAGGCTAGCATGGTCTGGTGTTGCATCCTACCCAGCCACCCACCACCCCCCAATCCTGCGTCTGTTTTGTGTGGTAAATGTCAAGAAACATGTAGGACATCTGAGGAGTGAATATGCTTGTTTGTATGTGAAGTGGGCTTTTAAAGATGGTGTGGATGCAAGGAATGCCAGTTAATTCCAGATAGTCTGCAGTAGCAAGTTGTTTCAGGAGTAGTGCGTGGTAAAATAGGACTCTAAATGGACATAAAAGGCATTGTAGGGCAGCTGAGATAGTTGGAGGCAAGTTTGCTAAAATAAAGTAAGAAATCTTGCTAGCCCTTGTAGCAAATAACCCTGAAGGTGACACAACTTGCACTTAGCCAAAAAACATTAGATTCAGCTCGTGTTTCTATTTGTACATACTTAAGCCATTTTAGAATGTTTTCCAAAAAAAATGACATTTTGTATTTTATTAGAATTTGCAAGTGGCTGATGGTAAAATTTGCCAACTGTTACAAAAGAAAATAGCTAGATCTTAATTAGAAGGCTAGGTGGAATATCTTTATTAATGTCAACTTTTAACGATTAATCCATATCCATGGATCATGTATGTGTATTTCTTTTAGGCCACAGAGGTGAAATATTATCAGTGAAATGGTCACCACGCTATGAACATATCCTTGTAACAGCAAGGTAGTGTTTACTATTTTCTTGTCTATTTTTGATCCAACATCCAAGTGCATCTCTGGTATTTTGTTGGAAGTCTTTAAAGTTATCATAAAGAAGTTCTCAACTGCCATGAATTTATGTTCTTTTTACCAAGTTCCTTTGACAATTTCTTTATTGCCTTCTCTCCTGAAGATATTGGGGGTAATTTTGAATGGGCAATAATTAAAACAGGTAATAGTGAATCATCAACCCACTTTACATTTCTTCTCATTTTTAGTTTCATTGAAGACCGTGGAAACAAAATTTGGAAGAGATGTAAAATGGATTCTAAATCAATATTACTCATTTCACACTGTTTCGAAGTCAAAATTAGTGCTTCTGATGTTGTTTGAAGTGCAGTCTCTGTTGTTCTGCAGTGGACGATTTGCTGAGAACAAATTCCCACAAACTGAAATGAGTGCAATGATCAGATGGTCTAATTTTTGGTGTTAGTTGATTTGCAAAATGTTGTCCAGGCTGCCAGGATAACTGCCCTCGGAAACTAATTTATGGTCATTGCATGTTTTGAAAATTGTGAATGAAAGTTTGTTAGAACATTCGTGATTGGCTGAAAAAGTGGAGTTGAAGGAGTAGAGCAGCCATGATTTTGTTGAATGGGAGAGAAGGCTGAAAGTGGTGTATTCCCTCCTGCTTTTCCAATTTGTTATGTTCTTTAGATGCCTCTATTGGTCTGCACTGGTTGGCTAATTGTTGCAAATTTCACTGACCCTTAGCATGACAGAGCATTTTTGTTGCAAAAACATTTATCTCCTGGTGCCTGATCTCTGACATAAGGCAATTATTATCAAACTGACACTCGGAGATAAGCATAATCCTTTGAGAAACTTGTGAATAACTCTTCTGGAGGCCCTTGCTGAAACAACAATATTGTATTATTTACTTTGCAGTCACTTCTGGTACCAGCATTGAGGTTGGTGCACAATTAAAATCTTAAGCCAACTGTTGCCAATAGTTCAGTGGCTAAATGTACCGAGTAACATTACCTTGGCTCTACTTAATTAATCTGCATTTATTTGCATGAGAATCCATAGGCTATATTTCAGTCCCTCTCCATTATTCATGCGATTCAGTCCGAAGGAATACAAAGTAATTCTTAGCTCCACCTCATGGTGTTAAGTGTGGAGCAGGTCTACTGTCTACTATGGCTCTGGAGTTTTGATCTCCTCTGCCAATTGAAGCTGTGAAGATGAAAATTTCCCTTTAATAATCATTCTATCCTGTACTTCCCACATCACAGGATGTCCTCAATAAATGAAATACTACTACTTTACATATCTGTTCAGTATCATTCATTAATATTGTAAGCTCATAGGATCCCAGAATGGATTACTTTTTTCTCCCCAGGAGGTGCAAAGATAATGCAGTAGAGCAGGATTCGCATTTACACATACCTTTCTATTTCACTAGACGGGTTTCTATGAATATGAAATAGATTGTTTCTAATCACTTTTTAATCACTTTTCTACTTAGTGCCGATAGCACAGTTAGAATCTGGGATGTGCGAAAAGCTTCTGGAAGTTTAATTTTGCTTGATCAACATAATGGGGAAATTGCTAAATCATCTTCAGAGGCAGGTAATGAGCCTGTGAAATCTTTGCTTGTAAGACATGTCACTAATGTAAGCCCTGTAAACCCTTTCTTGATGATATTCTTACCATGTTCAACCCCATGTCTGGTCTGTAGACCAGACAACATATTTTGTGTAAAGTCTGATGGGACTGATAGCTTACTTCTAATCATATGCCTACTGATTTAGGTTATTTTTTCCATTATTGTATGTCAGAACTCAGTCTAGTATATCTATTTATCTGTTATCTATACCCGCTCAAGGTATCGTAGCAGAATTCAGTCTTGTCCTGTCATATTTCTACACACACAGATGTTTCAGCAGAGGTCTCTCAATAATTCCTGAGAGGACTGCACAGATTATTTGTTCTTGTGCAACACAGAAGCTGAATCCAATTGCAGCAATCTCAGTACGCTGGTTAGGATCTGCTAATTCAGCAAGGATCATAATTGTGTTACTTTGTTAGACAAGTAAGAAAAAGTTATTGTAAAAGCTACAAATCTAATTCTAGAAAGCTGAAAAATCCTGGAAATATATTGTGAATCCATCAGGATCTGAAGAGCGGACAAATAGATTATTGATGTAGATGTTGATGCTAATCAAAGCTCACCATGAAGAATTAGCACTGAATATAAGGAATGCCATATTTGTATTTTCAGTCATTGAAATATTATTCAGCATGAACTTCATTCTACTTTTGTTTCTTCCTTGGCAGCAAATACTGCTCATAATGGACGTGTTAATGGTCTGTGCTTTACTAGTGATGGACTTCACCTTTTAACTGTTGGCACAGATGATCGCATGAGACTCTGGAATAGCTCCACAGGACGCAACGTGCTGGTACTTATTTTCTTTCCACACATCATTAACTTAAGTGGAGCTAAATTTGAACTTTAATTTAAGTATTTTATGGGACTGTTTTAGTTGTTTGATAAAGAAAGTCTTCAATATTTTCTTAAAGAATAAAAGTTTGCGAATTACCAGTATAAAAAGGTAATTGTAAATTATGGAAAACTCAAATTCACTCGGTGCTGTAAGAGAAAAGACAGGTTGTAATGCTTCAGTGAATGCCTTTATCAAGACCAGTGGAATTTGCTGAAGATTAGAAAAAATGGAGTGAAAAGGGAACAGGAAATCTTGGGGAGAGAGAGGGTAGAGTATCTTCCATTAACTGCAGGTTACTTGGATGATATTAAATGATATTTCAATATTGGAGAGAGACACAATCTGCAAATATTTAAGGAAATGAGAAAAAGGTACACAACTTTTTTTGTTAAATAACATGAAAGTTACTACACCTACTAACTTGCTCTCTGGTCTTTCACATGTTCAGTTGCATAAAAAATTATGAGCACTATTTGAGTGCGGCTATGTTTTGTTTTGAATGTTGCAAAATTGCAATTAGAATTTCACTGTTTTGTTTGGAACCTCATTGGGGCTTGTTGTGTAAGGACTAGCAGAATCAGTGAGAAAGTCAGAATTTTCAGATCAGTGCAAGAAGAGGGCCTTGTATAAGATTTTTTTTCTTTGCAATCTGGTAGTTTGAAGATTAAAGAAAATCCCATCACAAAAAGTATCAATGCAGCACCATGCAAAACAAGGTTTGCATCTTTTCTTTTGTCCAGCTTATCCTGCCAATTTGCTTTGACACACAAATCCATTCTGGGTATTGGTCCCAATAGCAACAGTGGTTCTTCGAGAACAAAAACCAGAAGTTGCTGGAAAAGCTCACCAGGTCTGACAGCATCTGTGAAGGAAGAGTTAACATTTGGGTCTAGTGACTGTTCCTCAGAACAGCTCTTCTCGACATTGTTGTGAATTATGAATCGTTCAACCACCAACGACATTGAAAATCCACACAAAAAATACGTTTCCAGCCAAGACTACATTTCAAAGAAGTATCTTATTTTACAGAACGTAGGATTTTATTTCCACTTTCCCTGGTTTGTCTGTTTACTCTTGATATCAATAATGCAAGGCAGTTCAAACAATGGAATTTACTCAACTTTCTTTATTAAAGCAAAGTATACCGCAGAATCTTACCATACAATGTTTGCAATCACACGTGAACCCTTTTACATGGACTTGTCTGCAGATCAGAGCAGAACAAGTGATCAGCCTGCTCCGTCTCAACTTCTAACCAGTTGATCAAATAGCCTCTTCCCTGAACTAGCTATTTTTACTGGGAGGCAAGGGTTTTTAAAACTGTTTACATAAAAAGGAATTATATATTCACCCTCTTGATACTATCCAGTCTCCAGCAAATGGTCACTCTGACCACGGGCAAACATCACAAGTGTGTCATGTTTTCCACTTCAGTTTTATTAGTTAACTCATTAAGACTTGCTTGTACCTTTTTAAAAAGAGGCTTATTGCTTGCTTTTACTGAACCTTGACATCAAACTTTAGCTTGCACTCGCTGTCTATCACTTATGTCATCCAATCAACCATATGCTATTTGCACAGTGCAATTCCATGACAATCTCAGATTCAACAGACAAGTAGTCCACATTATCACATCTGATTTGCTGTGTCTGTTTTAAACAAAGCTTCAGTTTTTGCAGTTACTGTGAGAGTTCAGTCCATTACTGCCGAGTTAGAATATTTATGTAAACAAATGCGCATATTCCTTCAGCAAAACACACACTTGAAAATTGGTGACCTTTCTGATCGTTAGGTAATCACCAGGCTTCATGTGTTTTCTCCTCATTTGCGTTTAACTTAATTTCATACAACTTAATTTTGCATAACCCAATAAATCTTCCGTTAATATCAATACATTCCATCTTTTAAAGTCACCCAGAGACTTCCTTGGCATCTGGAAGATTTAATGAAAAACGTTAATTTCCCTTTGATGATCCTTGCCTCAGAATCTCAGATTTCATCTTTTCATTGTTTCCACCTTAAGACACATTGCACATACCACAGCAGAACTGCCAAGAGTAATAACATGACACATTGGATTTCCAGTAGCACATGGACCCAGGGCTGGATTTGGAGATTCAACCCGCAATCCCATAGATCAGACCACCAAATGGTCTCCTTAATTTTTTTTTGACCAACCTCTGCACTGGCTTATTTTGTTGCAGGGCATAATGCACCTTCCATACACGTCTCAACACTTGCCTTTCCCTGGTTAGGTGTTTGGGTAATGAAGGGATAGGATATAAAAACTGATATTTTGGCTGAGGTCCTCCTAAAAGTCATCACAGAGGCTTAGACATAAGTGTTTCTTCTTTGCACCTACGGATGTCCACTAATTCCATGACCTACATGAGATGGGTAAAATGGAGTTAAATGCACCATACGGTTTTGGATGGGACACTGGGTAGGAACAATGCCTGCCTGGTTGTTAAACAATACTCGCCTCGTCTGTGCCACACAGGTCACCCCCATTTTCACCAAGTTTGCCTGCATATTATTGTTAACAGAAGTATTAAAACCACTCAAAGCTTCCTCTGGTGGTAGAGATTCAAAACACTCTTCAACAAATGCGGTTGATGCTAGATCAGTTGTTAATTTATCTACCTCAACTTCAAGTTTTGGTTAAGCAAAGGTATTCAAGGAAAGGAGCCAAAGGCAAGTGTGTAGGGTTAGGCCACAGATCAACCATAATCTCATTGAATGGCAGAACAGGCTTGAGGGGCTGAATGGCCTACACTTGTTCATATATGTTGTAGATTGGGTGGGGGCACACAATATCTACTTTGCCCATCCGACATTGCATCAGGGTAGACTCTGAAATCACAATCCCCCGTCAGTACAGCCTGGGTGAATGTTGTTATTCAACGTGATCTGTCACTCTCGTATGACTCCAATATTCTTAAATTGGTATATCTGTTTGGGTTTCTCTTTCCTTGTAATTATAGGAACGGCTAACTCTTATCAACATTCCATGTTTAACCATATAATCAGCCTTGTTATAATCCTAGTTATGATTTTTGGGATCGATGTTGAATTGAGTTAAGAGTAAATTTATTTTTCTTGAACTTGAAATGGCTGGAGTGACATTTTTGAGAGTTAATAACATGACCTTAGTTTATCTCTCTGTTTTGCTGTTTGCTCCTCACTTTTAGTGAGTCTAGAATGGATTTGTACATGGCAGAAAAATGGTCCTACTGTGGCTTGCAAATATTCAAGTTCATTTTAAATCAAGGGAATAGACTTTTAATGTTGTCAAAAAGGACTTTGGAACTCAGAATAAAAAGGGCCAAGAAATTGAGAAGAAAATCAAATATAAGAGAAGACACCTCTTTGTCAAAGGGTGGTCATGCCTGACAAATCTGTTAGAATTCTTTTGAGGAGGTAACAAACAAGTTGGACAAAGGAGAGCCAGTGGATGTGATCTATTTGGCTTTCCAGAAGGTCTTTGACAATTTGCCGCAATGGAGGCTGCTAAATAAAAGAGAACCCATGGTGTTCAGGCAAGGTACTGGCATGGATTGAGGATTGCTCTCTGGCAGAAAGTAGACAGTAGGGATAAAGGGGTCTTATTCAGGATCACAGCCAGTGTCTAGTGGAGTTCCGCAGGGGTCAGTGTTGGGACCACAACTATTCATGTTATACATTAATGATGTGGATGAAGGAACTAAGGGCATTATTGCTAAGTTTGCGGATGACACAAGGATGGGTCTAGCAATAAGTAGTGTTGAAGAAATCGGGAGGCTGCAGAAGGACTTGGAGGCAGGAGAGTGGGCAAAGAAGTGGCGGATAGAATACAATGTGGGAAAGTGTAAGGTTTTGCACCTTGATAGGAAGAATAGAGGCATAGATTATTTCCTAAATGGGGAAAAGGCTTCAGAAGTTTGACACACAAAGGGACTTGGGAGTCCTAATTCACGATTCTCTTCAGGTTAACATGCAAGTTAAATTGGCAGTTAGGAAGGCAAATACAGTGTTAGTATTAATTTGAAGAGGCTGAGAATGCAAGAACAAGGATATCCAACCTCATCAGTACAAGGCTCTGGCCAGACTGCATTTTGAATACTGTGAACCGTTTTGAGCCAATAAGGCAGGATTTACTGGCTTTTGAGGAGGTCCAGAGGAGGTTTACAAGAATGCTGCTGGGGTTGAAGGGCTTGTTATATGAAGAATAGTTGAGAATTCTGGGTGTATACACAAGAAATGTAATTGAAATGTTTAGAATTGTTTTTGGTATGTTAATAAGAAAAGATGATTGGAAGTAAGCTGTGGCCCATTAAAAGCAGAGACTAAGACAAGAGCAGCGATGTTAATCGAATACTTTATAGCTGCCTTCTTGATGCAAAATACAAAGCACTCCATAAGTGATAGTGAACCGAGAGTCCAGTGAGAAAACGAACATAAAGGGCGGCACGGTGGCTCAGTGGTTAGCACTCGCGGACGACTGTCTGTGTGGAGTTTGCACATTCTCCCCGTGTCTGTGTGGGTTTCCTCCGGGTGCTCAGGTTTCCACCCACAGGTGGATTGGTCATGCCAAATTGCCCGTAATGTTCAGGGATGTGTAGATTAGGTGGGTTATAGGATGGGTCTGGATGGGATGCTCTGAGGTGTGTTGTGAACTTGTTGGGCTGAAGGGCCTGTATCCACACTGTGTGGGGAATTCTATGATTCTATAGTAAAGACATTAGTACAAGTAAAGATAAGGTGCTGTACAAAGTAAGTGTTCTTCGTTGCAAATTGCCAGAAATGATGACATGCATCCAAGGTTTGTAAAAGAGAGCACTGCATAGATCGTGCATGCAACAGTTTGATTTTCCAGGATTTCTTTACATTCTAGAAGAGTGCCCAAGAATGTAAAGTAGAAAATATAACCCCACTGTTTAAGGAAGAAGAAGGATGATGTGATACAGAATTCAGGAAGAGGAACAATGAGGTTCTTGAGCAGTGTGACTTGGGGATTGGGGAGGAGGCATTGAAGGTTTTGGCAGGCTTAAAAGTAGATAGATCCCGAGGTCCAGATGAGTTTTATCCCAGGCTGCTGTGAGAATTGAGGGAGTACATTACAGGGGCACTGACCCAGATTTTCAGTTCTTCTTTGGCCACAGGATGGTGGCAAAGGACTGGAGGACAACTAATGTTGTTCCACTTTTCAAGAAGGGTGGTAGAGATAAACCAGGAAATTACAGACCAGTGAGTGTCTCATTAATGGAAGGGAAACTAATGGAGAACGTTCTGAAGGAGAGAATTAATCTCCATTTGGAAAGGCAAGATTTGATCAGGGTAGTCAGCATGGCTTTGTCAGAGGGAGCTGAACAAATTTGCATTTTTTTCATGGAGATGGCCAGGTGTGTAGATGATGGCAGTGCAGTTCATGTATTTTGTATAATTGTCTTTGTTCAGTCAATTCTGTGATAATATGACTAAATTAGGTCATCAACGTTTGGGCAACTTGGGATAATCCCCCATCGTGTTAAGTTAGTTGATATTATAATGTTAGTTAACATAAGCATGCAGCCATAGCAGGCAAATGGTATGTAGGCCTTCATTGCTAAAGGTTTCAAGTACAGGAGCAGGGATATGTTACAGTTGTGCAGGGCTTTGGTGAAACCACATCTGGAATTTTGTGAGCAGTTTTAGACTCCTTTTCTAAGAAAGGATGCTCTGGCTTTTGAGGGAGTGCAGCGAAGGTTTATCAGGCTGATTCCGGGGATGGCGGGACTGACGTATGAGGAGAGATTGACTAGGTTGGAATTGTTTTCACTGGCGTTCAGAAGAATGAGGGAGGATCTCCTGGAGACTTATAAAATTCTAACAGGACTGGACAGGGTAGATGCAGGGAGCATGTTCCCAATGGTGGATGCATCCAGAACCAGAGGTCACAGTATGAGGATTTGGGGTAGATGATTTAGGACAGAGATGTGAAGACATTTCTTCCCCAAAGAGTGGTGAGCCTGTGGAGTTCATTACCACAGGAAGTAGTTGATACCAAAACATTGAATGTACTCAAGAAATGCCTATATGTAGCACTTGGGGCGATTGGGGTCAGAGGTTATGGGGAGAAAGCAGGATTAGGTTATTGACTTGGACAATCAGCTATGATCGTGAAGAATGGTGGAGCAGGCTCGAAGGGCCGAACGGCGGCCTCCTGCTCCTATCGTCTACGTTTCTATTCTTTTGTACTGATTCTGAAAAGCAATTCATGGACCAGAATCATTGATATTGCTAATCAGCTTGTTCAGAGATGTTATTGCACACCTCTGGAGCAGATCGGACCTGAACACAGTCCTCTGGCCCATAGGTGGAGAAACTACCGCAAGGCCCTCTGGACCTGAATTGTTAATCTTCCCCTTCTCTCTCTGCATGCATTGCTTGACGAAATATGTATTTCCACCATTTTTGCTTTTTATGTCAGCATTCCAGCACTTGCAGCTTTGTATTAATTATCTGCAGTCAGTTCTGTGATTTAGGATAATGGTATCAGAAAAGTTGTTCGAAAACTGAAGTATTTTTTAAGACGTAATTGCAATGATTTGATGTTTACAGGTAAATTATGGAAGAGTATCTAATGAAAGCCGTAAAGGTCTCAAATTTGCAGTGTCCACTGGATGCAGCCCAGATTTTGCCTTTGTTCCTGTTGACAGTTGTATTGCTGTGTATGACATCTACTCTGGACAACTGTTAACTGAACTCCGGGGACATTATAATTACGTAAACTGTTGCACATTCCAGTCTGATTTCCAAGTAAGTAAATCTCCTAGTCTGTACTTTATTTGCTATAGTTTGAAGTTCTGCATTCCCACTACTGAACAGAAACCTCCAATCTGACTGAGATGATATTTCTAGAAATGAATATCTTAATGATTCCACATTTTTCCATTCTCTCGAAGTCTAATTTCCAATCCATTAGAGACTACTGAGCGAACATTGGAACGATGCTGCAAGAAAAGCTATACAAGATGGTTTATTGTTTAGCACTTTTTCAAGCAAAACAAATAAATCACATTTGCAGTTTGATTATGTAAAGGAACAGAAATGCAAATGTTTTTGTCCAAAATGTGTCTTTATTTAAGCATTGTGCAAAAAGAGAAGTGTGACTGCAGGTATATAAACAGAATATTTTTTTTAAAATTGATTTCTTCAAACTTAATGTTTTAAAAAGATACATAAACTGATAACTGTAGTTTTAGAGTCAAAGTGTTCCTGTTCTGAAGAATTAGGATAAATTTTAATAACAAATTTCTTTTCTGTTTCAGTGTTAGCAATGGCTCACTGGGCAACAGTCTTGTCTTTAAGTTGTAAAGTTATGGTTTCAAGGCTCACTCCAAGGGTTGAGTACAAAAATCTGTACAGATAATCTAATGAGTTACTGAGGGAGTGTTGCATGGTTGGAGTGCCGTTGTTCAAATGAGGTGGAAAACAGAGACTGCCTGATTAGTGTAGATGACACTGTTTCAAAGATGGGAAGTGGACTTATCCCTCGTGTCTTGGGCAATAATTATGTCTCAAACTACTGCTCAAAAAAAGCAGGGTATCTAGTTGTTATCATATTGCTGCTTTTATGAGTTTCCTGTCTGTAAATTAACTGCTGAATTTCATACATTTCAACAGTGACTTTGCTTTAAAGGTCGGTTTGCTGTAAATTGCTTTTAAATGTAGTGATCGTGAGAAGTGCTGGATAAGTGCAAGTCCTTTTTAATATCTTCCTTCCAATGAATTATATTAAACTGCATACTGGTTACACTGATAGAAATGATTAGCATGAGTCATCAAATTTAGCAGTGAAATGGCACTGCATTTTTACCCGGTTGAAATGTCTTAATTGCTGAGGTATTCTGTGTCACAATTGTGTATCTGCTAACGCCAATTCAGTTCCTCCTTCCTCCTGGTAATTTCTGTCATCCAATAGTCCTGAAGTTGTAATATATAATCTGTTTAGAGAGACATCTGCCTTCAGCATATTCATAGAACACTCCTATGATGTTACCACCTTACGTTATCCTACCATGGAACTTGTGAACTTGACTGTGGACTTCTTCCTGTTATTTCCTATGTAATTCCTAGTTCGCATGTACGATCAGACTTTTATGTATTAATGTTTTATGTAAATGTGCCTCTGTATCTTGAGCTTTCTGAGTCCATTTCAGGTGCATTTGGCTGCTGGTCTGGATCCATTTATGCTCTTCACTCCCACCCCCCCTCCCCGTTTTATTCTCTTATTTTCTTATGCCTTCTTTCATTTGTACTTTCTTTGGTGCTTTGCCCTTCTGTGCTGTTCACACCTCGACATATTACCCTTCAGAATGTCCTTTCGCTCTGATCAAGGCCCTTACCATCCCTAAACTTGCTGTAGATGATTACACAATATCATGACCTTAATGGAAACTTCGCTAACGGGTGTTGACATATTTTCTCTTAACCTTTCCCACATGGTTACACCTACCATCAGTTGCCTTAGCCATTACTCTTGTGCTACTTTCTTATTCTCTGAACATCTTGCCTTTTTCAACCCCCTTATGTCTCATTTAACATCATCGTTTTCTACCAGCCTCCCTGTGTGCTAAAAATGTTGTGAGTTATCTTCACTGCTTTCTCTTTCCATCTCTTCACCAAACAATTTCATGTCTTTGATGATTTCAACCTTAGTTTCTCAGTTTGGGATTCTGCTAGTGTCACTCCTGACCTTGGTTCACCTTGGTTCAAACATGGAGAAAGAGCTGATGTCCAGAGGAGAGGTGAGAGTGACTGTCTTTGAGATCATGGCTGCATTTTACTGTGTGTGGTGTCAGAGAGCATTAGCAAAATTGGAGTCATTGAGAAGCTGACAAGAAAATTCTTTGATGTTTTGAGTCCTATATGGCACTGTGGCTCAGTGTTTAGCACTGCTGCCTGACAGCGCAAGGAACCTGGGTTCGATTCCACCCTCGGGTGACTGTCTGCGTGGAGTTTGCACGTTCTCCTGTGTCTGTGTTGGTTTCTTCCGGGTGCTCTGTTTTCCTCCCACAGTCCAAAGATGTGCAGGCTAGGTGGATTGGCCATGCTAAATTGCCCATAGTGTTCAGGGAACTGTAGGTTAGGTGGGTTACAGGGGGATGGGTCTGGTTGGGATGCTCTGAGAGTCGGTGTGGACGCTGTAGGGATTCTATGATCATATATCTCAAATATTTTAGCTAGCCTCATTGTATCAATCACAGATGAATCCATGAAAACTTACTTGTATCATTTGTCACCCACATCTTCCCTCAGCACCCTAAACCTTTCCTCCTTCTACATCTGTCCTTTGAAAGATGACCACCCCCAAATTTTACAGAGAACTGCACTTGTAAAAACCCTAACTATCTAGCTTTTGACCTTCTGTTTACTCCATTTATGCAACTACTGATATGCTCCAAATAATAATCACAAGGAGCTCCTGAATTTCTTTGACAACAGGATCAAGATATCTAGTCACTGCCTCTGTTAGGACCCAGCCTTCCATCTGACTAAACTTCTTCTAATGTTCCCGATTGCATCTTTCTTTAATTTCCACCCTATTCCCATCATTTGCTCTTCAAACTCAACTAGGTGAGAGCCACCACCTCTTTACCCCAATCCTGTTCCCACCAAACTGATATCCAACTTTGTTCCTAGTATCTATGTTAGTTGATAGTGTTAATCACTAAACAAAAAACCAAAGACAAAAGAGTTTATTGAAATTACACCGGTGGGAAAAAACCCTCTGAAAATCCAAAGAGCTCTTCAAACAAAAGAAAACGTACATCTTCATACAATTGTTTTATTCCGTCTTCAACATTAACATTTACAAACCTATCATATTAATTAATTACGTTTCCTGTTAAGTTAATCATGTGACTGAACAGCTAGAGATGGACAGGCTTGTGGTCAGCCTCCAGTCCTCCATGGTTTCATGATGTTTCCCAGATTATTTTATCTTCCTTCTTTGGGCTTTTCACAATGAACACTGTCTTCAAGTACATTCCTTCCCAGACATTTGCCAGCTGCGCTGTATTAACTACCAATTAATTGGATACTAGCCTATCACTGAAGGACCTTTTAAATTCCTTATTAACCTCGTTATAAGAAATACAAAAGAATATTGATTTTTACTAATTGTTATAATATCAGTTTGAACAAAGGTATATGGTTTCACGTAATGTTACACTTTTTTAGGTAACGAGTTGTGAGCAGTTTCTTACTCACCGTATTTACTGGACACCTCAGTCTTTATCCTTGGGTGTCTTACATTCACTGTGTACATTCAACCCGCATTGCAATGTCTGCCAGTTTCTGCACCTGTAATTCAATTCTCTGTAATGATATGGGGCTCTAATGCCTTTACTGATTTTTGTGTATAGGTGAATCTATAACTACTTCAGAATCTATATCTATGATTTATTTGAAGGATCTTAACTGAAACCTGCTTTTAGTATTTAGGATTAATTAAATATTTAAAGAGAGATTCACTAATTAAATGTAGTACGAAATGTTCTTATGCGTAAATGACTGCAGCTCCATATTCTTTCTTAGTTCTGTTACCTTGGGTCTACAGAGCTACTATTGTTCTAACTTGTGCAGGCTACATTAAGCAAATGCTTTCCAAAGCTCTTTAACTATTGTAAGCTATGTTCAGCTGCATGGGCAACCATTGGCAGTTTTGTGCTGCTCAGTCATGGGCAACCCTAACACTGTAAATCAGAAATACAAGTAAAAATTGACATATTGTCACACGTACTGAAGTACAGTGAAAGGCTTTGTTTACGAGAAGTACAGGCCGATCATAGTAAGCAATGTTGTACAGATCAAAAAGACTTGGACAGAGGCGTACAGGTTACATCGCACAGGGTGTGGGCTAGGTGAGATCAACGTTAGCAAGATCAGCATTATTTGAGGCTAGCGAGTCCATTCGTCAGTCTAATAACGGCCAGGAAGAAACTGTTCCTGAACCTGCTGATGCATGTGTTCAGACTTCTATATCTTCTGCCTTTTGGAAGAGCTTTTAGGAGATCATTACCAGAATTAGATGGGTCTTTGATGTTGGCAGACTTTCTGTGGCAGCAAGTCATGTAAATTGAGTCCATGGATGAATTGGTCACTTTTGTGATAGTTTGGGCTGTGCACACCACCTTCTGTTGTTTCTTATGATCTGGTCAAAGCAGTTTCCATACCAGGCTGTTAGGCACCAGACAGTATGCTTTCAATTGTGCATCTGTAGAAGTTGGTGAGGGTCCTTATGGACATGCCAAGTCTGCTGAGCTGCCTGAGGAAGAAGAAGCGTTGTTGTGCCTTCTTGACTGTTGCATCAATGTGGGAGGTCTAGGACAGGCCCTCGGTTATTGTCACTCTGAGGAACTTGACACTCTCCACCCTCTCAACCTTGGTTCTCTTGATGTAGATGGGGGCATATTCTCCTCTTTTCTTTCTGAAGTCAATGATCAGTTCTTTCATTTTGCTGACATTGAGAGAGGGAGATTATTCTCATTGCACAACGTCACCAAGCTTTATATCTGCCTTCTGTATTTTGACTCCTCATTGTTAGATATCCATCCCACTACGGTGGTGTCATCAGTGAAGCTGTAGGTCGAGTTCATTTGGAACTTGGCAACACATTCGTGGGTGTACAGGGAGTACAGTAGAGGGCTGTGAACACATCCTTGGTGTGGAGCTTCAGTGTTGTGTATTATTGTGGAGGGGGTGCAGTTACCTAATTGCTGGGAAAGCTCAGCAGGTCTGGCAGCATCTGGAAT